ATATATATATATATATATTTATCTGTCAATCGGCTCGTCACAAGAGTCCATCACGACAGAAACCCAATATTTTTACTGTTGCCTTTGTTATATTTGTATTATATTTGTGCTGATATATATAATTTATAGAAGAATCAAACGATTAAACTAAGATTAAGAAATCTCACAAAAGAGTCTATGTTTAGGGTATAACAAAAGACTAAATACAGCTTCTTTGATAAGTAAATTTCCATTCTATGTAGTCCCTTTAAATAGTATTAAAAGCTTGCCTCTCTGCAGATATAAATTAGACACTGTCTCCACCAAGAAAATGCACAGATTTCCTGGCACTCAGTGACATGTAGCTCGAAGTAAGCTAGTGGACACAGATAATTATTTTGGACAACATGCTCTCTTACTTGTCTTTGAAAGTAGTGTAGCCCTGCAGGAGGTTTTTAAATCACAACAACTCTAAAAACAATACAACTTATGGTTTGGCAATAAATAATGTCTTTATCAAAACAGACTGTTTATATATCTCTGTTGTATATTTGATTGATGTGGCAATTGGCAAGGGAGTCTTTTTTTTAAATCACATATGCCTTGGCCATCAAATCTCTTTGAGTCTCATTGCTTGTCGTGACTTACAGATATGTAACATTTCAACTTTCAGAGCTTGTAAACTTCAGGGCGAATGAATTAATCACAGCAAATGCAGTCTTCTAGACTATGAGTGATGCTATCTTTTATGACTACTCTTTCTCATTTCTAAAAGATAACCCTTTAATGTAAAACAGTTTCCCTTTCATCAAGAGGGCCAAGTATTTGTATTTTAATTTTTAGATAATGCAGAACATGGTTATAAAATATGAAAAAACTGATCTATTCCACCTAGCTGTAGAAATTCTAGTCCTGTAAATAAGCATTTAAATGCTTATTTTACTGAGTCATGCCAGATATATATCACTATATCTCAGAAAAAGGTATAAGTCTCTTTTAAATCCAAATCCCATTTGCCTGTTTTGGATCTGAATGCAGCCTACATCTACTGTTGATATCTACTCCATTTATAGTAATTAATCATAATGTTATTATTTATTTAGCATATGGCAAATACATGGACTTATAGTGGTTCAAATGTTAATGTCTAGTCCACCCAGCCATTCAAGGATAGGATGGTTTATGTAGAAAAAAAAATCAGACATTGGGCTGGTGGTGAATGATGGGCATTCAGACACAATGTGATAAATATTTTGTTGAAGAGCACCATGTCACACTGAGGGGTAGAGACAAGACCCCACTTAAACAATGAGTCCTGGCAGACACCATGTTGGGTATGGATCCTGTTCAGAGTTGACCAATGCTGGCAAGAAAGGTCAAAACCTGGTACCTTTTCTGTAAGGTCATCTTTATAACTGCCTGTATCTGGATGTTCAACAGTCCACTTGGCTTTCCACTGTGCGTTGTTGTCAAAGTTGTTAGGCAGCTGTTCAGCAAGTGCCAGAGACGGTTTTCTGGATTTAAGCCTGCCAATTGATAGATGAGGAAGATCAGGATGCACAGGAAGAAGTGGAGGGTTTCTCAAAATTTTGTTATACTCCTTCACTAAGGCTTCCTGCTTTCATAGAGCTTGTGATGCAATGTGGCTCAGCACAGGGAGCCAGCAAGGAGGAGTAGATTTTATGCAACCGCTTAAGATCCTCAATGTTGCCTATATAGATGCTAGTATCACCACATTTCCAATATGATACCATATCCCACCTTTTGCCTAATACATGTTTTCAGTTCTGCTTTGGAACTAGTAAAGATAAAGGTTCCCCTCGTACATATGTGCTAGTTGTTCCCTACTGTAGGAGGCGGTGCTTATCTCTGTTTCAAAGCCAAAGAGCCAACGCTGTCTGAAGACATTTCCATGGTCATGTGGCCAGCATGACAAAACACCGAAGGTGCATGGAATGCTTTTACCTTCCCACCAAAGGTGGTTCCTATTTTTTCTACTTGCATTTTTACATGCTTTCAAACTTCTGGTTGGCAGAAACTGGGACAAGTAACGGGAGCTCACTCCGTTACGCAGTGCTAGGGATTCGAACTGCCGAAATTTCTGATCGACAAGCTCAGCATTTTAGCCACTGAGCCACCGTGTTCCTA